TGATTTCTGGGGTGTGGAGGATTAATTAAATTTATTTGAAACAACAATTTATAAAAAATTATAATAGTAAAATTACAAAATTACTTTTGTCTCAAAAAATAAAACTGAATAAAAAGAAACATATCGCAAGTTTATAAAAATAAACACATTTAAACCTTATAAAAAATGGAAAAAAATAAACACATTTGCAATCTTATGAAATTGATATTTATGAATACATTCATACATGTATTGAACATGTGTGTACACATTTGTTAAACGTATGCATTTCCATTCTGCGATCAGCCGGGAAAATAAAGCCCACTTATGAAGACACAGACGTTACATACTACAGCATGATTAATTATTAATTAGTTTGGCTTCTTAATATAGCATCATAAAGCATGAAAAATGCAATTGTGTGACTGAGGATCAGGCTTAAGAGCCCTATATCTGTTCAAAATCAGTCAAGGCAACTGGACTTGCTGTATTTTTCTTGAAGACGTTTCACTGGACATCCGACCAGCTTTCTCAATTCAGAATGACTTGTACAAAAACCCTCTGGGAATAAATATGGTTAATGTCGCTCCAATCCACATAATCTTTTAGTGTTCATTGCATTTGCATAATTGGAGTCTAGGAGGTGCAGATTTTTTACAGATATACCTTGACCTGGAAGAATGATAACATTCACAGGCATAAGAGCCCTATGGTAAAACATGTAGAATCTGCTCAATAAATGAAAGAACTTGCCCACTTTTAACACAGTGGAGGAAGTAAGTGCATAAAAAGAGTATTTAGGAATTACATGATACTTCCAGCTTATTTATTAATCTCTTCCCAATCACCCCTTGACATGTACAATGTAAGAGGAACTCCACTCAACTCTATTTTTGTGGATGGAAAGTTAACAATTAGAATCTCTTTTAAGTGTTCATTGCTGTCTCTGTTACTGTTGGGGAGATTTCCCCTTATTTCCTGTGCCAAACAAAATGGTCAAAGACAATATGGAAGTGAGAGGAAACCAGATTACATTGCAAAATAAAAAACTCATAGTGGAAATGTAAAAATTGCTCTGGTCCATAGGAGGTATACAGGTATAAGACATTACATGGGGTTATTTTAGTCAAGAAAATTTTCAGGTTGAAGTGAATTTCCACTTAGCTTAGTGAATAAAGTGAAGCTGTGCTGACCTTAATAGTGTAATTATGTGCAAGAAACCCCATGATTTTTGGTGGGAATTTAAAATACCCAATTAAATAATGCTCAAAATGCTAATACAAAAACACTTATAATACCATAACTGATAATTAAATTGAAGTGGTTGAAGTCTGAGCTCTTAGGCCACATTTCTTGATGGAAGCAACCAATGAAATCTGGAGTGAAATGTTTTTACATGGAACTGAGGTTGATCTTATCAGTATTTTCAATTACTTGTAAAATAGGTCAGTGAAAATGATTACAGTGCATCCAGTGGCGTAACAATCACCATAGCGACCCAGGCGGCCGCTATGGGGCCCGGGGGACAGTGGGGCCCGGACAGATGCCATGCGGGCCTGGGTCGCTATGGGATCCTCTGCTGGTGGCTTTCACTGGCGGCTGAAGACGAACACGCCGCTGTTCAGATCACTGACAGTAATCTGTGCAGCAGCGCGTTCCCCTCCACAGAGGCAATGAGAGCCAGCAGCGGCGGCGGTGGAGCAGGCTGGACTCGGCAGTGGAGGAGGAGGCGGCGGGGCCATCTCTAGCCATTTGTTTTCGGTTTTTGTTCCAGTGGGGGAGGGTTAAACCCTCTTTCAGTTTTTACTGCTGTGGCACTATTTGGGAGATTATACTTCACTTCCTGTCTAGGTGACAGGGTTATCACCGGAGCAGGAACTAAGGGGTATTTTCTCCAGCACAAACGTTCCCACCCAGTCTATGAAACTCTCATACTAAAAGTAAAAAAAAGTTTTGTCTGGATTTAAACTTTATGTTGATAGCTGAATGAAAGCCACCATAAAACTGCAGGGAACACAGGCATCCAACACTCCTGGAAGAATTGAATGCTAAATACTCTGATGGAGAATGTAGCACATCAACGAAGCAACTTTTTCTTTTACAGGGAACTGTTTTCTTTGGGTGTCACTTAAATGGTATGTGGGTCAGTTTTACTTTACACTTTTCTTAATTTACACCTTTTTTAGCTGCTTTATGAAAATAAACATTTAATACACAGGACACCCATAATACTGGTGTCACAAGGCAGTTTGGGTTTTCTAAAGAGAGAGCTTAGCAGGAGCTGTTAGCTTTCAGACTGTCTCTCTCTCTCTAACTGATTTTCCATATAGTCATCTATGAAAAGGGATGGCAAGGTGGGGAAGGATGCAGGGTGTGTTACTACTATGACTCATTGCAGCCATGTCTACATTTGAGTTTATGTTCTGTAAACAAATAGGACATTTCAGCAACCCAGCTAGGGCTGTAGCAAAAATAGAAATATTGCATACGAATATTTGATAATTTACATATACTGACTAAAATAGATAAATATATTTTGTAGTATTAAGCAAGTTAAAGAAAATGAAGGAATAAAATGTGTACAGGTGTTCTAATTCTTAAAAAAATAAATAAATATATTTTTAACTTTTAAAGAACTTAAAGGGGAACATTTCCTGGCTCTATCCCTCTGAGGTGAAAATGGTTGACTAGAAAAGGAATTTGAGATGTGAGCTAAATATTAAGATTGGGAAAAATATTCACCGATCAGCCATAACATTATTACCATCCGCCTAATATTGAGTAGGTCCCCATTTTGCCACCCAAACAGCCCTGACCCGTCGAAGCATGGACTCTGCTAGACCTCTGAAGGTACGCTGTGGTATTTTGCTCCAAGCTGTAAGCTAACAGATCCTTTAAGTCCTGTAAGTTGTGAGGTGAGGCCTCCTTTGCTCCCCACGCGCATTAGTAAACCTTGGCCGTCCATGACCCTGTCGCCGGTTCATAGGTTTTCCTTCCTTGGACCACTTTTGGTAAGTTCTGACCACTGCAGACCAGAAACATCCCACAAGAGCTGCAGTCTTGGAGCTGCTCTGACCCAGTCGTTTGGCCATCACAATTTGTCCCTTATCAAAGTCGCTCAAATTCTTACGCTTGCCCATTTTTCTTCTTCCAAAACATAAAATTCAGGGACATAAGGTTCACTTCCTGTCTAATATATCCCACCCACTTCCAGGTGCCATTGTAAAAAGATCTTCAATGTTATTCACTTCACCTGTCAAGTGTCATAATGTTATGGCTGATCAGTGTATAGGTGACTCATTCACCACCACAGATGCAAATACTTGGTTCTGCCATATGTTTGGGTTAAACCAATGCAGAGAGACAGGGAAGGAGCAGAATGGCAACGATAAATAATAGTAATTAAGACAGGTATGCTAACCTGTCTGATTGATTGCTATTCCTGAGAATTGTGATGAATGGGTCCCAAAGACGGAGACCTTTTCGCAACCTAGCTAAAAACAGAAGAGGTCAGTGAGTCATCAGCACCCACCCATAACTGCAACATACATTTTATATGGAATGAACCTTTAAGACAGTATAGAAATACACTTTTTCATAGAAATTCAGTGAAGCCCTATGTAAAGTAAACTGATTTATTTAATGGTCAGAAGAGATACATTTGGCTAAAATTAAAAGAAATGCATCAGCGGATATTCTGAAAGTTTCCTGATTTTGGATGTATGGACTTTTGAAGTTCTCCTTTAAAGGTGAAGTCCTCAAACTCCCATTAAAATAGCATTTTATAATAATAAATTTTGCAGGACGTTTCCCATATAAACAATGCCATTCTCTAGATGACCAATGGATGCTTTGTCAGACTAAAGTTTAATGTCTTTGATTTGCCCATAAAGAATGCCAGGAAGAAGCTGGAGAGGTGTGCGCTGCCCACGATATAACGATTTCTGGTGTCAGACAGCCCCGCAGGATTGATGTCCCAGTCTGGCCACAGCTTTGCTGATTTGGTGTAGATGGGATTTATGGGTCCTGAAGACACGTGCTCACATCTTATTTATCCTGATAGCAATCAGCAGATATGCCTTAAAATCTATGGGCTCTTTTTTTTTGTACTCTTACAAAAGGTTGCTGATGCTATCAAGTAATTGAAACTGGTATCTGGTTTATTAAATTGTCAATGACATGATTTCTAATGACATTTGCAAACTAAAGTGGATTAAATCTATCCTTGACATTTCCTTCTCTCATAGGGCTTCTGTGCCAAGATCAAGGTAATTCCTCTACCTCCCTTCCTCCCTTGTGATTCGAGATGACCTGGGATGACCATGCTTCTTTTCGTCATATGTCTGTGCATTACTGTTTAGCCCCTTTCAACTGGAAAACTTTGCCTGGGTGAGTTACAGCAATAAATGGTCAGTGATATGTCTACAAGGATCTACTACAAGCTATCAAAACTTTTGGCCTTAAAAAAAACAACTTTCATATTGGCAATACAGCAGTATACAGATTATAAATCCACTTGGCTCAGTGGTCAGGCAACTTTGACTTTAAAAAAGGGATATCTACCTTATCTATACCATAGGGGAGGTGTTCTGTAGTCCACAGAGAGAACTGATTGCGAACTAAAAACCATGCAGCTCAAGCATGCAGCTTACAAGATTTGTGGCAGGATCGACAGGTTTTTTTTTCCACTTATTGAACAGATATAACAAAACCCTTTCCATGGTATGTTTAGCAGAACAAAACGGAGTAAATAAGAGAAGTGTATTGTTAGGGTTATTATTATTATACAGGATTTATATAGCGCCAACAGTTTGCGCAGCGCATATATACTTCAGGTTTTAGGGTTGGGGGGGGTTAACTGGTATGTGACAAATATATAATCCTAAACTACACATCTAAGTTGTATCTTAGATGTATACCCCACAGAAATATCGCATATAATGTGTAAAAGGAACTGGGATGCAAAACACATCAAATTTCTAAAAATATAAAATGTTTTTTTTTTATTTTGTATTGACAGTTTATATTACAAAAGTGTTGTGTATCACTGCACTTATTGTGGACACATAAATAACAAGCACAAGTTGTCAAAATGTTCTTACTCTCTTCATCTTAATATATAAAATATTGTCCAAAAGGATATAAATTTTTGTCTGTACAAAATAGATTTACTTTGAGGAGTTTGGATTTCGCAACAATAGGTAGTGTTCTGTAAATAAGAATAAAAAAAGACAATCACACATATATCACATACAACTACATTTCAATGTCCTATGTCCCGTGTCCTTCCACATGTCCTGAAGCCTAATGTAAACTAGTGCTACCTGCAATGACAGAAGGATGTCTCCTGCAATGCATCTGTAATGGGTAAATAGTTCCTGAGAAACTTGGAAAATAAATACGGAATATTGTTACCCAACACTTACCGTAATTAACCTCATGTCAGCATACAATCTCTCCCTGAAGGCTGGTTCACACCATAAACAGTGCGTTCCAGAACGGTCAGCCTCTGGAAAGCACTATATCGCATTCCGGCCGGCTTGCTCCATTCCGGGTCAGGAGTGGAGGTGGCAGTGCATTTAAGTCAATGGCAGCGCAGCCACGCCCCCCGCAGTGCGATCGCCCGTACCAGAACGCGTCGCACATCAGTGCCTGCGTTCTGGTTCAGTGTGATCTGCAAAAATGCTGCAAGCACTATTTTTGAAGATCGCACTGGACTAGAACACAGGCACTGATGTGCCCTCCCACCCCTGAATGCAGGCCGGAATGTGACAGCTGTGGAACGCAATGTTTATAGTGTGAACCGGCCCTAAGTGTCCTTCGCGAGCTTGTTAGGGAACACAGGTATCTGTGGTGAGTCGCTTTTATCTACTTGTTAAGGGTGGTCCTAATAGGTCAAGGGGGTGGGGATAACCCGTACTATGTTGACATGAGGATTCCCTAGGTGTAAAATGAGCTAATGTCTAATGGCAGAAAATATTATCTAGTACCGTATTTGCCGGCGTATAAGGCGACTGGGCGTATAAGACGACCCCCTCATTTTTCTGTTAAAATATAGGTTTTGGGCTATACTCGTCGTAGAAGACGAGTATAGCCCAAAATAATGTTTAAATGCACCCACTAACATCCATGGCGGTATTCCCGAGTGTGGCCTGGGGTTAATTTTCAGTACCATAAGCGGTAACCCCGAGCCACACTCGGAATTACAGTCTCTTACCTTGTCCACGATCCCCGCTGTGTCCTCCGTCTTCCGTCCCTTGCGGGCGTCCACGTCGCAGGGGGCGGAACCGGCGGGAATTTTAAAAGTTAAAAAAAATATATAAAACAAAAAATAAAAATAATCAGACCGCCAGGGAGGCTAATCTGTCAGCCCGCTGGATGTGCGGTAATACCGTATGTACGGTAGCTTTGACTACATACAGTATACCGCGCTGAGCCAATCACGGCAGGCTTTGTATTAATAGAATACATCGCTCTCCGTGATTGGCTCAGCGCGGTATACTGTATGTAGCCAAAGCTACCGTACATACGGTATTACCGCACATCCAGCAATGTTGGCACTTCAGGAGTATTTCGGAACGTCATTAGTCATAATGGACAATTAGTGACAGCACTCAGCGTGGCGCAACGGGATCACTTGGGGGTTACTTGGATTTGTTTGTCGCTATACAGATACTTGAGGTGGATTGTTTGGCGCTCTCAGTATTTCATCATATGCTCTTAAGAGTCCTAACTGTCTGCACTCAATGTCGGCAGCAGATTGTTTGGGACCGCCGGGTATACCTGGCGTACAAGACGACCCCCGATATTCGGGGGATGTTTTTAAGTCTAAAAACTTGTCTAATACGCCGGCAAATACGGTAATACCTAGAAGCAGGGCTTGCAATGCAGAAGTTGTCAATGTGGACTTCCAATCAGCAGTATGGGCCTTCTACCAGAGAAATATGCTCAGCTGGTCAACTGTTACTTGAGTATTGGAGGTAAGAGCAGGAAAGTCCTGATGGCATTTATCCAACAATTAAAGAGTTGTTAAAAGGGAGGTACGCTGTATTTCAGTGAGGGCAGATTTTTTGTTCGCATTGTTTAATTTTAAGTAATCTTTCATATGAGTTTGACAATTCTACAAGCCTGCTCTAGCCACATTTGTGTTAATGCATTAAATCTAGCGCTACATAGATTGGTCACTAGAAAGAGCTTTCCGTAGCTCAGTGCAGTGACTCTATACCCTTCTTAAAGAGGAACTTTACCCATATCTATAAAATGACAACAAAGACACCTTTAGAAATATTTAGTTATGACAATCTACAAACAGATACTTCTAGATAATTGCAAGCCTCCCCAGTCCTCACACAGTGGCCATTTTTACTAGGGGCAGATAAATGTATCTCCTTTTACTTCCTGGAACTCTGACACCTGTGAGTAGGACATGTGACCATGCACATCATCTCAGGGGAAGAAAATGCCTTTCCCTGAGATCTTGTGAGATTACAAATGAGATTTCCCAGCAATACACTGCTGATGTGATCTTCCCGGGATGCAACGCTTGGGCACATTACATCAAAAATTTTTAAGTGAAACAAGAATGTTTGTTTAACTTATGAATGTAAGATGGTGTCATATGAGCACGCAAAGCTGAATGCTGATGTGATTTTTAGTGAGTGTGTAAGAGTCCACGTTAACAACTGCCGAGATAAAATCTCAGCTGCATGTGAGCAGAGCCTGCAGATGTAATGACCAAATGAGGTTGCCCCATGTACAGATATTATTAAAAGTTATACACAGACACAGTTTTTTTTAAAAACATTAACAAATATTCATATGACTATTTACACCAGGCTAAAAGATAACCCTTAAACCTGATCTCCAGGCAAACCTCAAAATTCACAGATAAACTATATACTGTATATGGGAGCTGTCTTACCTGCCAAAAGATCTGTATTACTGTTTATCCAGTTCTGAGATTTATATAGCTCTGCCAACATCACACAGCCGTGTCTGGCAGGACATGAGACCTGATTTTTCTCTACTGCAGTTAAAGAAGTCCAGGATTTCTTTTAAATTACTAACCCTTGCAGTAGGGCTACCCCCCCCCCATTGCAAGAGTTAGGTGCTCATTTGTGTCTAGGTAAAGAGAAAAAAAAGAAAAAGTTATACCCGCCTGATCACCCGGGGCCGGCTTCTTCTTAGACCGGTCCTTCCATTGTCTCTCTCCCTCCTCTGCAGCGGCCTAAGGTCCTGTAAATAATTGTCTATACACTGTGTATAGATGTGAAGACGCTGAGGAAGATTCCAATGCTGCTGTGGAGGAGGAGATGGGTGGGAACGCTGTGACAGCTGGCCAGCTTGGAGCTTTGGGTGAGTATAAGTTTGTTATTTTTGTCCCTAGACACAAACAAGCACATAACTCATGCAGTACAGGGTTAGCCCTTCTTCAAGGGTTAAAAAAATAGTTTTCCTAGAGGGTTAGGGGGTGTTTGTGCAGCCCAGCTTTTAGCAACCAAGGACACTCTGTCCGGCGTCCCGCCCAGCTTCTGGCAACCAATGGTGTCACTGGTTGCCAGGAGCTGGGTGGGACGCCCGACAAAGAGTTCCAGGGTGTTAAGAACTGGGTGGAGAAACGGCCGGGTATTAGCAACCTGGGATGCTCTGGCCGGAAAGGGGGCAGTAGGTACATTGCAAACATTGTGCACCAGAGCAGGCATGCCACTCTACTTGCCCCCCTCCGGGTTTGACACAAAGAGATGCCATATGAGACAACAGCCTCAGGCTGCTTCATTAAAGGGACGCCCCTGGGTTATATGGTTATCAAGTAACACTGTCAGCTACCTGCCATGAAGTGACACAAGATGGCTTACCTTTTGGCAGTGTGGCTGGTTACCTATAGGCAGTTTTAGTCAACAGTGCCATTACCAGATGTCAAAGGGTGCTGTTCTCGAGAGTGTCCACGCATTGCTAATTCTTCCAAATTCTTTACAACTGTCACCCCATGACTCCGCCTTGGTGATGCAGCAGTCCTACGATGAAGAAGTGAAGTTACTGCCAAATCATCCATCTTTTGTCCCCATAACATGAAGTGTATGGAAAGCCAAAACCTTTTTTTTTCTGATAGACTGAGGAAGTGTTAGAAGCTTTATGTGTGTCTCCACCAGGAAGATTTATCCTCTCCCTGGGTCCTGGTGACCATCATTGTCTGTGGTACAGAGGAAAATATTCTAATGGAGACACCTATTGTGACAATTGTCTTACTGTAGAGGGGATATCCCCTCACTTTTGAGTGATCTCCTCTTACTTCCTTGTGTGAAGTGAAGAGAAATCTCCCAATGGGACACAGAAAAAATAACCCTGTCTGTACTGTGATGGCATATCTCATTATCAATGGATATCCTAACAAAGGGTTAAAGGTCTAGAAGCATTGTATGTTAATGAGAGGAAGCTCAGAGTGTCCTTAGTCTTTCTATGGGGACAGGCTGCATTTGACTGTCACTTGGAAATAGAGAGAGAAGCTTGCAAAGGTCGGCTACACAGACACATCTAAAGGGCCGTTTCACACAAGCTCCGGTGGTTCCAGCACGATTCGCTGCTGGAACGCATTGGAGCACATCCTAGCCGGATTTCTGTGTTCAGGGGCGGGAGGGGGCATGGCCCTGTGTTGGAGTCAATGGCACCGCAGCCACGCCCCCCAACGGCAGTGTAGTCGCCTGCACCAGAACGCGTGGCACATCACTGCTTGCGCTCCGGTCCAGTGCGATCTGAAAAAATAGTGCATGCAGCATTTTTTCAGATCGCATTGGACCGAAACACAGGCACCGATGTGCCACATATTATGGTGCGGGCAGGGGTGTGGCTGCGGTGCCATTGACTTAAATGTACCGGCATACCCCCAAATGCAGGGAGCTGACTCAGGTGCGATACAGTGCGTTCCAGCAGTGAATACTGCTGGAACGCACTGTATATGCCGTGAGTCAAGCCCTCAAAAGGTAAGACTTTTTTAGAAAATTATTTTTACTATGTGAATGGGAACACATAAACACACATATAGAGGGTTTTTCTGGGATGTGACAGCAAACGTGGAAATGCACTTTAAGAATCAGCATGATTCCATATTGGACATTTCAGAAGTGGCAGTCAAGCTGGATCTGTTGTGGTTATGTTAGAACTGTTGGATGGCAGGGAATGTTCAATCCTACTCACCTCTGGGATGCTGCCACTGCAGGCTGACTGATGGAACGTTTTATCTGAAAAAGGGGAGATACAGCTTAACACATAAAGAAGATACTAAGCACAAAAGAAGACAGCGTGGAAGACGACAGCAGGAAACACCTGTCAGTATAATTTACAAGATATACTCCAAGTGGCTATAAAAAATTTGCATTCAAACTGACTCAGCTGAACCAAACTACAAGTTAAATGGCTCTAAATGTTATCCAGGCATATTTTCTGCAGCAGGCTACCCTGCTACTGCTCTAAAGCAGCTACCAGATGCTAGAAGGTGTTCTTAGGTGCAGGCACAATGTGTGCTTAAAAGACTGCCCTAGCACCTTGAGAACCCCAAAATCAGAGCCACTGTAACACGGAATTATCAGCATAGTATTGCATGCTGGCCTGTCCCCTTCAGCCTGTTCCCATTGCCCAGAAATATCACCTATTATAGATACTGACTAATAAAACAGGTAAGAGGGAGTGTACCCGCTTTTAATACTATCAGGAAGTTGTTAATAATATTGCTACAGCAGTATCAAAATATGTGCACAGTGCAATGTTAGGCCAGAAACCCTATTTGGTGCACCCCTCTGATGCTGGTTTTACTTTTTATGAACGTCTTGCCTTTTCTGACTACAGGGCCAATTTCCCCATTCCTACAATTAAGTGCCAATAACCCACCATCAGCCTGTCCAAAGGCAGTGCCTCAAGGGAAAATAAGGGAGCTCTCTATGGATGACAGGCGAGTTGGGTATATTGCTGGAGGAAGCGGCTTATAACCAAATTTGTTATACAATATACCCCAACTCCAGCCAAAACCCTGTTTTTTTAGTTTTTGATAAATTTGGGAAGAGAATATATTTATGTCAAGTTTTTATTGCTGAAAGTATTGACGTTAGAGAGATTTCACCTTGCATCCTGTCCCTGGGACAACAGGAAGAAAAGTGAAGTGAGTTGTCACTAAGACAAAGACAGTAATACTGTAATAACATGATAAAAGGTTTAAACCAGTGGCGTAACAATCGCCATAGCGACCCAGGCGGCCGCAATGGGGCACGGGCACAGGGGGGCCCGGCCAGGGCATCCCTCTGATGCCGTGCGGGCTGCCTGGGTCGCTATGGCATATCAGGGTGCTGGCTGTCAAGAGGAATGCGCCGTGTTCTTCCTCACATCCGCTGCTGAGCGACAGCTCAGTGACAGCCAGCAGCTGCTGCAGTAGAGACTGGACCCGGCGTTTGCAGTGGAGGAGGCGGGGCCCGGCAACCTAGGAGCAGGATGGGCCAGTGATGTAAGAGGAGGCGGGGCCCATCGATAGAGGAGAAGACAGGGCCCGACGATGAAAGAGGACAGAGGTGGACCGCGCTGACAGGGAAGAGGTGTGCAGCACACCTGAGACCCTGCAGAGCCCGCCATAGAGAGTCTATGGCGGGCTCTGCAGGGTCACTCTCAGGTGGGCTGTTTGGTATATCAGGTGGGCTCTGCAAGGGGCATAACTACAAATCACAGGGCCCCAAAAATTTTGCTATGGGGCCCTGTGATTTCTAGTTACGCCCCTAGTTTAAACCCTTCTCCAATTGACTAAAAAAAGGTTGTAGTCTGTATGCCCACTAGAGAGATTTTCCATCACTTCCTATATTGGCAGGAAATAAGGTGAAGTCTTTCCAATGGGACTATAATGAAAACTACTTTTTATAGCTCTACATTTCTGATGCATGTAGATTGATACTATTCCCATAACTTCCACTTATGCTATGTTTCTCTACAAGTCATTTTGGTACAGTTACAGTTGTTTTCTTGTGTTTGGTCTTAGCCCTGATGAAGGGGGTGTGTTTGGATCCTCAAAACATAGTGGTTACTGTCCCCCTGACCTTAATTAAAAGTTGTATCTGGACTTTTTTTAATTGGTGTGGTGCTTTCACTAGTACACCTACTGTGTTCCCAGTAAAAACCTGTCCGGGGTTCTTTCCCTGCCCTGTCTGCCCAACATTAAAACAAATATTTTTAGAATTTATATTAAAAAATGCTATAGCACATTGGTGTATTTACTTTTTAAAATGCTGACAGGGTCACTTTACTAGATCACAGGCTGCCTTTTATTTGCTAAGGTAAGTCCTTCAAGTGGACCTTTACCCCCTTAGGCTAAAAATCACCCCAACATGCCGATATAAAATCATCTTACATTCATTAAACATATTTTTATTTTACTCACAATTTATGGTTTTCTACTTCCTGGTTCTCTTTGGCAAAAGTGATGTAATGTGCCCAAGCGTTGCATCCTGGGAGGATTACATCAGCAGAGCATTGCTGGGAAATCTCATGAGATCTCAGGGAAAGACATTTTCCTCCCCTGAGATGATGTGCATGGTCACATGTCCTAGTCACATGTGCCAGAAATCCAGGAAGTAAAAGGAGATGGATTAATCTGCCCTTAGTAAAAATGGCCACTGTGAGAAGACTGGGAAAGAATAGAGAAATAAGGTATGTAAAGAATACAAAGCTGGCAATTATCTAGAAGTATGTGTTTGTAGATTGTCATTACTAAACATTTCTAAAGGTGTGTTTGTTGTTATTTTGAAGATATGGGTAAAGTTTCTCTTTAAGAGCCAGTTCATACCGCAATCCTCACGTTAAGTGTGTGTTTCTACATGTGTATTTACAGGGCTCAAACCTTCAAGTCCTAAGCTACTAGCCAGGCCTTAAAAGTTACTCGCCACCAGTTGCCCCACCTAACCCCTACCCTGAACCGGCCTTAACTCCGCCAAGTCAGCGGTGTGACGCACAGATTAAAGATCAGTAACAACGCACAGTACAGAAGTCAGTGGTGCAATGCAGAATACAGAGGCCAGCTGTGTGACGCACAGTGCAGAGGCCAGCAATATGACGCGCAATGCAGAGGGCAGCAATATGACACGCAGTGCAGAGGGTGGCAATTGCCCCCCGTGCCTCTCTGATACCTTTGCAAACGCTCCCCACCGCCGCCGTAAGCATTTAATCTATCCCCTCTCGGCCGCTCTGCTGCTGCAGCAGCCAAGAGGGGAGAGATTAAGTGCTTGCGGCGGCGGGGGGCGTTTGCAAAGATATCAGAGAGGCACAGGGGGCAATTGCCACCCTGCCCCCGGGCCTAGTCCACCCCTGGATTAGATTAATAACGTGCTGGATTAGTATGAGTGCCCCACTCAATATGGCCGCAAGCGATGGGCATTCTGAGTGGGGCAACTCAGATTAATAACGTCCAAAAGATGTGGACTGGGAGGGGGGCCTCTTTAAGACTGCTCTGATCACATCGCTGAACGATCCCTCTCTCTTCTCCCGACCGCTGCAGCTTCACCTCCACGAAGCGGGCACTCAGAGAGGCGGCTCTGATCGCACCTGTCAGCGTTCCCTCTCTCTGCTGTTTCCCTTCACAACAAAAATTAAGAGCCCAAATAGAATTATTTTTCACTCGTGTTTACACATGTTGCATGTTTACATGCGTTCTGGAGATAAAAAAAATTCATGCTGCTGTACTTATTTTTAAAAGCACTGGAACTGAACGCAGTGGTGCGGGGTAATTAGAAACCAATGATTTTACTGTACATGTTATTGTAATGTGTTAAAAAAATGCACCTGAATTCATCCAGTGTGAACAAGCTGTAAAAGAGAAGTAAAATCAGCTGATAGCGACTACTGCCTGCTATCGGCTTATGGGGCACAGCTGCACTGTGGTCAAGAAGAAACTCAATAATATTGTCGGGATCCGTCCCGGGTCCCTAATTGACACTAGCTCTTCCTCGATGTGCGCAGCTGAAGGCCAGAGCCAGCTGTCTCCTCAGTCTATGACTCCAGCTGGCGCTGGAGGAATAGAGAGGGGAAATCCCTGCGGGGGCAGAGACTGCCAGTCACTGCATTCCACTGGGACAAGACACCAAGAGCTGATCAGCTCTTGGTTCCCCCCCGCCCCCCTCCGGCTGTGGTATATTCCTCAGCGTCCTCACGCCTCATGCAGGTGGATCGACCTGCATTAAATGTGATGACGTCAGCGGAGCTTAGACCACTGGAGCCCAGGGGAGAAGAGGCTACGGGGACCGGTTTAGCAGCCAGACGAGATCGAGGATCAATTGAGTAAATCTTCTTTAATCCACCCCCTAGACCAAAAACAAGCAGTTAACCATTGCAATGCAGTGTTAGCCCCACTACAAGTGTTAATTTTGCCTTTACCTGGAGTTCCTCTTTACAGCACTGGGGTGAATATGAATGTGTAATATTTTATTGACCTCGAACGATTCCTTTATTAAGGGCTTATATTTTAAATAGATTTGCAAGAACAAAGCCACACTGTGTGTTCTCAATCAGGAGAACAAGAATAGTCCTGGTTACTTTTTACAGTCGTCTGTTATCGACAAGACCGGCAATTGTACCTTTCGGCTGTGGGGAAGTTTGCTGCCAACAACATCTTCAGGTAGGACAGGCAGAGGGAGGCCCTGTATCAGCGGATGCAGGTTGTTGACATACTTCATACATTCGTCTAGTGTTGAACAGATGTGAGTGCAGGTCCCTTGTAACACTGAGCACGCAGCACCAAGTTTCTAGGAACAACAAAGACAAAAAATGGATGCCATGGAAAGGCTATCGATGTAACTGATCAAATGGTTTTACCCTGATACAAAGCAAATGGTTTTACCCTGATACAAAGCAAGATACCGGGCTCAGAGGTCCGTGATGGAAGCAGCCTGTTCTTGACTAATGAGCCACATTCTAGCTGCAGGCTGTTACATTAAAGTATTATTAAATGTTCCTATTTTCTTAAATGACTGCATGCCATGCAGCCTGGTAAACATTCTCCCATACTTAATGTGCAGGATATACTAGCTGAAGAATCTCTCCATGTGTGCACACACAATCACTACAATCACCTATATACTTTAAAATGTTGATGTCTAAAGTGAACATCAAACCATTTCTCCTGCTATAAATAATAACTTCATACAGCTACATGTGATACACCAGACATACCTTAAGATTATTACACATGGGATGGCGATCAAATTCTGAAAGCTGATGCTGATTTCTGGCATGTTATATGGGACTGCCCCAATATCACCCAATATTTAAAGCTTAAAGCTACATTCACGTGGCAAGAACCTAGGATTGTTTCAGCAGGAATCCCAGGTATGTCCAGGCCCGGATTCCCCACAAGGCTACCGAGGCAAGAACTCTGGGCGGCAGGGAGCAGAAGGGCAGCAGCGGTGTGGAATCCCCCGACGCCCGGAACATAAAGTTCCGGGCAGTAAGTTGCCTTTTACATTTAGTCCTGCCTTGGGAAGGCAGGACTAAATGTAGTGTGGGGAAGCCGCTTGTTCGTTTACAAGTGATCGCAGCGATGTTGCCGCAATCACGTGTAAAATATGTGCAGCCTGTCTGTCCTCTCCTACTCTCCCCCCCCC